GCTGTCAGACTCCACATTTTGGTCTTAAAATGTTCGTATTAACCCGCTCCATGTGTTTTGTTTTTGTTTTTGGTTTTTTTCACTATTTTGTTATCCTATTGATAACGTAGAGCCTGGCTTTAGATTCGCTCCTGTGACCGTTTGAGTGGAGCTGAACGTCACACTCACCGAGTCACTTTTTTATACAGTCTGTGTGGCAAGTAAAGAAAGAACTGAAGCTGAGTCTCGTGTCACGTCTGTAACAGATTACATGTACCGGAGTTACGTAATCAGAGTACAAATTATGAGTAACTGTATTCAGTTACAGTTACTGTTTCAGTGAGTGGTATTTGGATTACAGTTACTTTGTTGAAATAAATGGATTACACAGAGGTATTTTCCTGTTTTCACATTTGGGGCTATATCCCTTTTTTTTTTGGTAATTCCACTCATTGCTGGACACTAAACCAGGTCTAAAACCAGGACTAAACCAGGTCTAAAACAGGACTATAATAGGACTAAACCAGGACTAAAGCAGGAATAAAACCAGGACTAAACCAGATCTAAACCAGGTCTAATCCAGGACTAAACCAGGTCTAAAACAGGATTTAACAAGACTAAATCCTGCTGTGTGGACCGTGTCTCCTCGTCTTCTATCAATAATATTTTTAATTTGGTTCAGTAAAGTCTGGGCTTTTTATTTTCTTTTAGCAGATAAAACTTCTTATGTGAAGATTTCCTCATCTTTGCTTCTCTACAGCAAAACAAGTAATCCAAAGTATTCAGATTACATTACTCACCTTAAGTAATTTAATGGATTCCGTTACTACAACGTAACTACATTTTGGGATATGTAGGGGATTACATTTTAAAAGTCACCTTCCCAACACTGATTTTACTTTTAATGCTACGATACCACAGTCAGATGTTTCTAAAACTTTATAAACCGCTGAGTTATTCAAACATTTCATTAACTCCACATTATGGGTTTCAGTTCACACGTGCCTGTTCAGCCTCGGCGATGTCTTCCAACGCTTAACATTTTAATTTTTCCACATGTTGATGAGAAAAATGAATGTAAAATGTACTTGTGGAAGTGCAGCGAGCTCCACACAGTCTGTGACTGTGGTTCTCAGGAAACAGTTTGCACAGACAGATAATTAGCGTGGCTGTGATTGTAAAGGAGGCGTGCGTCTTGGCTGCGGTCCAGTTGGCAGAGACGTGTTTGATATGAGTAAAATTATAATATACCACAGTCATTATACTATTGTAACATCAGTCATTACATTTCATTACATTATGTTTAATATGAGACTCAGACAATCCCAACTGTTTAATGAGCGTCATTAACCTGACATGACAAACAAAACAAATGTATTCAGAGCGACCTCATTATTACATGATGAGTTCATACGAGCTTTTCACAACTCTGACTGACCAGAGCGGAGTTTTACTGTCATGGTAAAGCTCATAACTACCTAACAACAAGCTAACAGCACACTTCCTGTTTGTCTGAAAAGAAAACACTTTATAATTTGATGCAGAACAGAAGAAGCAGACTTATTTTGACCTCGAGAACTGCTTATACAATACATCTGTACTGGATCGGTACGGCCCAGGCCTGGACTGGCGATCGGGCATTTTCCCGCTGGGCCGACAGTCCCCAAGGGCCAATGTTGTGTGTGTTTTTTTTTTTTTACTTAGAGACTGGCCCACAGTTTAGAGGGGGCGGCCCATATCGTCAGTATAGACATTGGACTAAACCAATCAGGATATAGTTTCACAGTGTTGAGCGTGAAACATGGAGAAAGCAAAGAAGAAGAAAAGTGGTGCAGAGAAGTTGCGGGCTCCGTGATTATAAATCGTTATAAACGTTGCGAAATGTGTGAAAATAAGAGACACAGACAGGGCTGGAGGGTCTGCTGGAGCCTCCATGTCCTCTGCAGCGCAGGTGGGCCGAGCTGAAAGTGACAGCAGCAGTGGACAGAGGAGCAGCCAGAGATTATTGACAGAACCCGAGGGACAGAGTGACCAGGTGCAGCACAGGCACAGCAGGTGAGCAGGTAATAACGTTAGAATAGATCAGAGCGATACTGACAACACATCAGGGAAGAGACCGTCCTCGGTCACAGTTTCCTCGAGGGACCTGTCCCTGCGTGTCCCACGGCTCTGGGAAGCGAGCTAGAGGACATGTGAAGCAGCCGCCCGCTCGGAGCTCGCACATTCCTGCAGCCGCTGTGAGCTCTGGGCCATGGATCTATTAAAATAACTGGATACAGTATTGCTAGCTTGTAGCTGCCTCGAGTTGACGTAGTGTCACTCAGTGGTTCTACAGTCGAAAAAATCCCATGGGCCGAGAGAAGATTTTTCTTATAGAGCGCAATGTAATCACAACCTGCTCGTGTTCGGCTGACAGGGCACCTACAACTTTCAAAAAATGTCGGATTTTGTGGCGATTTTTACCTATTTTTATATCATAAACTTTTTCTCGCTCAAATCCTTCAGTTGTCTTAAAAAAACGCTTTATATTCGTTAGCTCCGGCTCCGCTCTGCTCCGCTCTCGTTCTCTCGCTCTGATTGGTCAAAGCGATCACGTGATACACGAGCCCGCGCTCCGTGCGTGTGGTCGCGTGCATTGGCATTCAAGAGGTCTGGCTGCAGACACATGGGGAAAGTGGAGCTCCACTCCAGGCCGGAAACACGTGACCTCCACTGGAAACACGTCACATCTACCTTGGACTTTTATTTTAATTTTTTTTTACATTAGCGTTTTATGCAGACTTATGGGGCGACGAAACGTTTTATTTTGACAACAAATACATTTATTAAATAAGATTGCTTTTACGTTCTGGAATTTGTTCGCACGTATATATTTTGTAACAAATTAATTAGACCGTGGGTGATGACTAATTTGTTAGAAAATAATTCGCTTTCTGGTCAAACAAACGAATAATTTTTTTATTATTAATATTGAAACGTTTTATTTTGACAGCAAATAAATGTATTAAATAAGATAGAAGCATTCAGTCTGTTTTTGTGCAGAAAATATAAGTATAGAGAAACACTTGGCACTACTGAGGACAGGAGATTCCCTCACTCTCTCGTGTCAAAACTTTTTCATTCATTCATCTGTTTGCGCAAGGTATGTACATACATATACACATCAATGATAACCAGTGCATATTCAATAAAAATATAGATATACATATGCATAACACACTTACATGTATATACATACACACAAAAATGTATTTTCGTTTATGACAAACAATGTTGAAGTAGACACAAAGTTTATCATTTATGACCGTACAAAATAGACCGTAATGAGAATGAAAAATTTAAGGATTTTTGTTTTCATTTATGGTCATACAAACTAATTGTAATGAAGGCATAAAAATATATCGTTTATGATCATGCAAAATAAACTACAATGACACTGAAAAAAGTAAGGATTTTTATTGTTTCTAGTTGAACAAAGTAATATTAACGATAAAGAGGACACAAAATGTATTTTTAATTATCATATAAAAAACAGTTAAAACTGCAGTAGCCAGGGTAATCATTGGAGGAGTAAAATCCCCACAGCACTCCCTGTTTGCCATTGCCACAGTAGCCAGCCCCACAGTCTTTAAACAATTCTCTGCACATCAGACTACGACACGTGCTTATTGTGTACATTTTCCTGTACTCCTGCCGGTGGCTGGATGACAGTGTGTTCCACTTTACCACACCTGACAAGAAAAAATAATTCAGTCAACAAACACAATAAAAATCTTCCTTTAAGTTTTTTACAGAGTCAGATCATATATTTACTGTCTAGCCAGCTGAAATGAGCCTCCTCCCGGAAAACCTTCTGGCTGACAATTTGGTGAAAAAGCCTGCAGGTGACAGAGAGGTGAAGGATTGCTGGGTCACCATCCTGGAGAACCACCAACATCAAAACCCTCTTCAAAATGTCCTCAGGCAGCTGTTGATAAATATGATTTAGTATAGAATCCTTACATGACTATTCTATCAAGTCAAAAGTGATTCTAAATGCATGCCTGCAAAATTCCAGGGGCCTCTCCATGATCTTTCCACCGTTTTGCAGGGAGTGTGTGCATCTAAAACATGGTAATAAGATGTTAAGTTCACCATTTATGTCACAGAAAACACGTTACTTTCACCTTGTATCTTCCCTAAGTTATTACCTCAGTGTTACTGTGTCTCTTGCGTGGCACACGGAAGACAGGAACCAGCCTACCCTCACCCATCTGTCTGCCCTCGATGGTATAATGGGCAAATCTTTTACCATGTCTGTAATTTACAAGCACATGTCTTGACCTTGCAGTGTACATGTATTAATTTTAAAATGCATAATAATCAAAAATAATTATTCAGAAATCATACCCTTCAATCTTGAGGTTCTCTACCAGCACTCTGCACCACCACCTCCTCAGGTACGGCATGTCGTACTAAAGATTAGTGTTACAATGGGATACATAGAAGAGTTAGAAATTAGACGCAAAGCACTGCAACTGAGTTATTTGCTTATATAAATATTATATATATATATATATATATACACACACACACACTTAACCATATTTATATGATTGAACTTACAATGGAGAAATCAAACGGTGCCTCCATGATAATGTGCCACGAATACTGTCAATACAGAGAGGTTGTGATGACTGTCTCTAATATGCATGTGTCAAAATTTATAATAATGTTCACCATTTCAATATTAATGTGTGTGTTGTCAATAAGAATATTTAACTGCATGCAGAGTTGGCAAATCATACCATGATCATGAAAACTCCACAGTCTATGCCATAATATTGTTGGGGAAGGCCCTGTTTCAAAGAAAGACAAATATTAATACTTCACAAATTGTATGCATGTTATAATGTATATACACACTTTTCTTAACCTCAATAATACCTCAATGTCCATCCCAGTCTGCTCATGCCAGGCTCCTGGCATTAGACTCTGTGCAACACCCCTGATGAGAGTTAAACAAAGTTTCAGAGACATGACCAGTCAGCTACACTTACATCCTCTGAACATGAGGAACCACTTTACCTTTGCAGCTCTGACAAATCAGGGGAACGTGATTGCCAGGAGTAGCTGCTTCAATGTGGACAAGTCAGGGGAACATGACTGTCAAAACTAGTTGCATTTAAGAGGACAAGTCAGGAGAACGTGACTGCCCAAAACTTAAAATGATTATGGCAAGCCAGGGGAACATGACTGCCATGGTTAATCATCCTATTGTAACCTCAAGATGTCCCGATAAATCGTGTGCCCAAAGCTTTGCTCCCTCTGGGCATACTGGGAGTCGAGGAACCATATACGTTTTTCAAGTGGCTTCATGACCTAGGGGAACACACTCCTAACAGTAAGTTATCAGTTTATAGAGTAGAGTTACTTTATTGATCCCGGAGGAAATTAAGGTGTCCAGCAGCAGATAGACATAACACACTTTGCACAAATCCAAAATAACCAACCCATCACTTAATACACACATACAAATAAATGTGACAGATGCTATCAAGCATAAAAGCAAGATGTTTTTGGGCCATCTTGTCATTAACAATGTCACAGTGTCACTTTGTTGTTACTTACACAAAGCAAGTAGTGCCCTGGAGTCCAAAGTGGGAACACCAGCACAGTGTCTGTGGCATCCACCTTAAACAAGGATGTTGTGCTGTCAGTTCAAGTCTTATTTTTTAGCTATATTCAATGTGTATTTATATTGTACTTACTGGAAGACTCAGCAGAGGGTCACAGCCCCTGGGTGGTAGCCAGGTAGGGGGTATATGGAGGTCCATAATGAAGACATTTTTCCCCTACAGAAGAAAATTTCATGCTTTGTTATGCTAAATTCAGTTTGCATATTATCCTTTCAAATATGAATATACACATACCTGAAGTTGGGACATCTCTTTCACCAACCTCAAACAAGCATTTCCCACCTGTGGACATACAGAAACATAATACATACATATTAAACTTATAAAATTATGCGGTGGTATATTAAGATGTTTGACTGTAGAAGGGAAAATTTTGCTAAAAACACATCTTTTACTCACTACAGAGTCCATTTCCCTGTTAAGACCTAGACTTAACAGATTCTCCCTAGTCAAGCAGGTTGGACCATCCTTCACCATTATTTCCTGAGGTGGCCCACTTTCATCCAAAATGTAATTGACCTAATTAAAAAAAAAAAAAAATCGCACAATAAATGCTTTACTTGAACAATCAACATAAAATCCATTGTTCACAGTTGATCCATGTCCAGTCACAAATTAATCCACAAGTTATATATACCAGCTGTTCCTGGAGGGGATGTTCTCCTTTTGGACCCCAGGAGGCTCTGCAGGGCCTAAGGTTTACAATGGCAGTCAGCATTTCACACTGTTGCCCACAATGATGTGCGGAACCAGCATCTAATAGATAATGAAAAGTGCATGTAGCATGTGTTACTCCAGTAACTCCAGTATTCTCAACTATGTAAACTTTACGAGTATTCTGTTTAACTTACAGTCAGAGTTTGATGCCTTGTCAGTCACTGGTTTGCCTCCATGGGGGACACAAAGATGATGAGCATAGCAAATTTGAAACAAATGTATATCTGTTAACACCGACATAATTTCTGCACCACTCACATATGACAGCTTGTCCCAAAGTAGACAGGGTTACAGAATGGAGCAGTTCCAGCTGGTGACCGGCAGTCAGTTGTTTCTCCAAGAGCCGATTGTTGGTGGCAGTGTTGTGGCGGTGAATAATATGTCTCATTAAAAAAATGTGAGTTGAAGGATTCATATTATTCATAAAATAGTTATTTTTTCGCATTTTTGCAAAAAACTGCTCCACCACCTGGCTATTCAGCCACCCTTTTAATTCAGGGACCATGCCAATTCTGCGCAGCCTGTCCTTAGGGTCTGATGCATTGTCTTCATGGAATCGATCATAAAGGCAGTAGTGTGCCGATGACCCCGTCAGAGGATGTGCCTTGTCTTGTGTCTTATGTAGTTTCTCCTGCAGCCAGGGTAGACTGACTGTCAGACTCCCTTTCATGGCTGCCTTTATGTTCTCCTCCGTAGGATCAGCCAAGCGACCTTCATGTGGCTGGAAGGGCAGTTGTTCTGGCACCCGCAAGTTGGTATGGGTTGCTAAACCCCTGGCAAAGTCATATATGGAGACATTTGGAAAATGCTTCCATGACAGGAGGAGGTCTGCAAAGTCTCTGGGACTCTCCGCCCGCAGATTGAACTTTATGCTGTACACGACACCATGTGGGCAGAGAATCACAGAGCACCCCCCTGAAACAAAGGTTTAACAGATTGTTAGTGTGTAATCTAATATGCACTTACGATAATAATAATTTGCATTATGCAGGTAAACAAATCCACACACATTTACAGTGTCAATAACATAACTCACGGAGTGCTAATGTAACTCACCAGATGCACCCCATATGCTTTGAAAGACCTTGTCAAAGGTATGCCTGCTTTTCATGTGCTCCCGCAGCCTGTTGATGAGGTCAAGACGGGAGCCCTTTGTGTCAACATTGCATGATTTGCAAAGTTTCCTGACAACTCCAACCTGACAAAGTCAATGACAAAGAGTACATGGTCATTCAGTGACATCTGCAAATCCTTTGCACACTGAAAGATTTTAGAAATACCACCACAATACCTTTTGTTTAGCAAGCTCATCTATGAGCCGATCCTCTGATACGCAGTGGAGTTGGGCTTCACCTGCAGATGGGGCTGTTCTGAGCTTTTTAAACTCCGTGTTAAGAACAGTGCCACCCTGCCTTGTCTCTGCTCCAATCCAGGGAGCCCAATGGTCATAGCTGGGTTTGACCACGAATGGATTTTTGGCACCACCTAGGTAAAAATGACAATAGTATTATTTGTTGTACAGATATTTAAACAGTTGTATTCATTTAGGTGGAATATTGGTATATTGGTAATTCCTCACTTGTGAAAAATCCCCGGCTTATCATATCCAGATGGACGGAATTCCAAAAGCTGTCGATGTCCTGCTCTCCGTTATATTCCTCAGGAGCTTTGAGGTCACTCACTGCAACAAAACCCACCATAAATTAAAACAGCTGAGGCAGAAAAAAAAATTACAACTATTTACCTTCCAGCTTGAAAACACCTTTTCTGTGTAGATCCATTACTACAACAGGCGGGTGAAAACCACAAGTTACACATGTGTAGTCGTACTCCGTATCTGTCAAGGCCTCAAAGTGGCAATAGCCATGGAAAATGGCATCTCTGGAAGGGTACTTCTCCTCTCTAAGCCCCTGTAAAGAGTCTACGACTCTTGACACAGACACATGGTTCTAAAGTGTGGAGTAAAGCTAATGATTAGATACATCCATCCATATAAACAGTTAAAAAGTAGGAAGAATTAATAAATCAAAAGTACAAGGAAGTAAGACTTACACAGATATTTTCCCTGAGGAAAAGGCAAAGTTCCAGGGAAAGCAGAAGATGATTATCAAAGTTGTGCAGACCATCTTTCCACTCCTGATAACGGTACGTCATCTTACATTGTGGGCACTGTCTTTGGTATGTTGAAATATCTGTGATGAACAATCACACAAATACATTAGAATATCAGTTGTTATTGCTCTTTGAAAAATATAATGCTTGTTTGTTTGCTCATTATTGGACTTACTTTCAAGCAGGCCCATGATTCCAACAATGCGGGCTCTGTTGGTAATTAACACTGCATCTCCAAGTAGTGGATGTTCTGCACAAAGTTGGCATTCATTTTCTACAGGGAAAAGATGCCGCTTGTTTGTTGTCAGTGACATCACTGCTTTTGGAAGTGGCTGGGGAATTTTTTTTTCTTTTAGAATGTATTGTGCTGTTCTCTTCACAGCTGTGGTGTCCTGCTGACTGGAGCCCTCTGACCTTGAGGCTGATTGGGTATCGGATGTGAAAAGCTGTTTGTTTGTTTGAAAGCAATGCCATTTGGCTATGTTGATATGTGGGCAGGAGGTCCGTGGCTTTCTGCAGGGGCAATGCCAGGTGTTTTTGGCACAGTTGAATGTCACCATCAGTCTTCCAAGTCGAGAGAAACTATGAATAGTGGGCTCATGTATTGATGTGCAAATTTGGGATGATGACCCACCAAAATTTACAGGCACACAAAGTGGAACATGAGCCTCACAGGCAGATCTCTGCCTCCTCAGACACACTGCTGCCTTTGCCTCCCCAAAGAACTTTAACCCAACCATTTCGTCCAGGACATCCTTTTGCAGAAAAGCCTCTCTGCCTGTTGCGTCACAGTAATCAATCGATCGCAAGTGGACACACAAACTATGGCTCAATCCACTCCGCTGAGCCAGCAACTGAAACTGTTGGCATTCGTCTAGCTCACACAACACCTTGTGGGTCTTGCCCCAGGTTTTCCTCTGCACATGCACAGGGACAGAAAAACCATGACCAGTTCTTCTCACAGCAAATATACCGTTCGTTTGATCCACAAGAACACTTGGCAGATGGAAGCCCATAGTGATGTCCGCCAATATATTTGAATGCTTCCTCAACATGTGTGTGCTGAAATTTTTCTTCAGCATACTGAGGCTGCAGTGTGGGCATTTTGCAGACTTACCACATACATCTGCTACACCGGAGACTGATGAACAAGCGTAACTATGGTCTTGTGATGTGGCATGAACATTAGCAGGTGATGTAGCTGTTTTCAGAGGTGGTGGTGGGCAGTCAGCAACTGGTGGTGGCGGTGTGAGGCCATAGGTAGCTGTTGTCTGAGGTGGTGGCGGACAGTCAGCACCTAGTGGTGGTGCTGGGAGGTCATGAGCTGCTCGCTGAAGGCGACATAAGGCCAAATGTCTTTCCATATCTACTCTTCTAATTACTGTTCGTGAACAGTATGGGCAGTGATAATGCCCAGAAGGCCGACATGGCATTCGGCATCGCCAAAGGTGTGGCACATCTTCCATATTGCAGTCCTGCCCTGAGAATGAAAAAATATGAAAGTTTATATGTGAGGAATTAAAGAACCAAAAAAACATATGATTTTATCAATTAAATACTATTATCTACATCTATATTCCCTACACATTAGTTCATTACCCAAAATCCATTAGACCAGGGGACCCCATCTAGAAGTCTGTGCTGGACAGAATTTTCAGTCCCGCCCGCGCCCGCATTGTGCAGTCCCGCCCGCGCCCGCATTGTGCAGTCTCGCCCGCGTCCACACATTCACGCCTGCTCACGCATTGCAGTGCTACCGCCAACAACGAGCTTTAAAAATGTTTAAAAGCATCAGGTTTTTTTGTAAATACTTGCTACAAATCTACATCTATATTCTCTACAAATCTACAGCGCCACCGCAACAGTAATTTCCTATTAAGTCACCTGATATAGTATTTTACACAATCTAAATCTAATCTAAATCTTTTCTATCCGATAAATATAATAGCTAAACCAACTGTTTTACCTCAGTTCAACCGATTTCTTCTTGTTTCTTTCTTCTTTTTTTTCCTTTAATCTCCACTCGAAAAATCAAACTGCTCTAACCTCACGGTTCAGTCTGTGTGAAAGGCCTTAGCTTTCTGTCAGTCCGTCCTTTATATAAGTTGAGTGACGTGTTTCCGGTGGAGGTCACGTGTTTCCGGCAGTGGAGTGGAGCTCCACTTTCCCCGTGTGTCTGCAGCCAGATCCCTCTCAGTTACGGAGGGGCGCCGCCATTACAAAACCTCATGTTCCTACTGCGATGACTAGCAGAGCTTTTAACAAACTAACGCGATCTATCTTTATCAAAACCACTCGTATATCGGCTCTAAACAACCAAAATAAAATACATTTCTCTTGTATGTACTTTTTTGTAAGTGTTCCACATTAGATTACCTGAATAATAGAAAAATAAAGACAGTGAGCAGTGAGCTTTGGTTCTGTGCAGCCTCGCTTCATTGTATGAAGAGGAGCGGCGCAAAACTTTTCAAGAAGGGCCGTGGCTGGAGACCCGCGACTTACTCACTACACTGCCACCTCCTGGCGCACCCCGGTAATGCAAGAGTATCCTAAAAACTTTACAGAAACGTGAGGAAAACATTACATTTGCAATTTAGTACATGTTATCAATAAGGGAGCTACTTAACAGCACCAACACAAATAGCCAGATTACAAAATAACATAAAAATGTGACTGCACATTTTGTGTGCGTCACACGCTCCCTGACAACAGAAAATGGCTCCGGACATTTACAACTATATCATCACTCAGGCCAGGCTATAACTACTTTTGTGTACCAGTGTCTCTTTCTTTTCATTTTAATACCCGGATAATGGCATTTGATGTACATGGGCACTAAATGGATAAACTATTGGATACGCATAATGCTGTGGGATAAGTTTGTATGGTGCACGATATACCACTGGGTTGGGGTCCATTCCCCAGACAGGGACAGCTGGCGGCAGGAAGGCTTCTACCGTGTGGACAGCTGGTCGTGGCTGGTAGGTGGACTGAAATGAAGGCTGGCCCAGGGCGTCATAGGTGAACATTTGTGGTGGCCTGCGGGCACGAGAAGACCTCCGGACCTGTGGCTCCCTCTCTTTCTCCTCACTAGCAGGTGCAGGCTGGGGTGGGAGTGCTGGCTCACCATTGTCCTCATTGTCCGATTTATCCTGTGCATCCTCCGCAGGTATTTCAAGAGCACTTTCCTCATCCTCAAGATGTTCTGCATCTGGCTCCGGCTGACCTGTATTCACAAGAGATCTGTCTTGGATAGTATTGTTTTGTTCTCTTATTGTCTGTTGTCTTGTGCCTCTCACAGGAGCTGGCATTCTTGGCACTACTTGTACGGCGATGTTTTCTCTCTGATGCCCAACAGGTGGAGCTCTTGTGACATGTTGCGGAATCCTCAGCCAATACCGAACCGGCTCATCTTCTGAATCTGAAGATGCATCACTTTTTGTGTCACTGAGTCTCTGGTCCTGTTTTGTTTCTCTTTGAGCCCTTGTGTGGTGAGATTGTCTGTTTTCCATAGGTAAAACTCTGGGAAGTAAGTCTACTGGCAAGTCATTGACTAAGAGGAGGAGATTGCAATGAAGTGTTCTGACTTTGTTACTGCCGTTTTCAGGTGTCACTTTGTAAACAGGACCATCTGCAACTCTCTCTTTCACAACATAGATGGTGTCCTCCCAGTATGATCTCAATTTACCAGGACCTCCCCTCTCTCCCAGGTTGCGGACTAACACACGATCACCTGGTTCAAGGACAGTACCTTTGCTGTGTTTGTCATATGATTTCTTTCCTTTTGTACTTGACTGTTGGCTATTCTCTGCGGCGATCCTGTATGCCTCCCTCATCCGCGCAGCCCACTTCTCTGCATAGCCTCGAGGAGTGCTGGGGTCTTGTTCAGGGTGGAGATTAAATATGAGGTCCACAGGCAGTCTCGGGTGTCTTCCAAACATTAAGTAGAATGGAGACATACCTGTGGCCTCATGCCTGGTACAGTTATAGGCATGGACTGCGTGCGCCAGATGATCTCTCCACCTCTCCTTTTCTTTCTCGCCCAGGGTCCTCAGCATCTGGAGAAGAGTACGATTAAATCTCTCTGCTGGGTTGCTTTGGGGATGATAGGGAGTTGTGCGTGAATGTCCCACTTTGCTTAACTGCTGCAGGGTTTTGAAGAGGTCATTTTCAAATTCCCTCCCCTGATCATGGTGCAGCTTGTGTGGATAGCCAAACTTTGGGATGAAATCTTCAAAAAGTCTCTCTGCTGCTGTTTTGCCAGATTTGTTTCTAGTGGCGTATGCCTGGGCATATCTGGTAAAATGGTCAACTGCAACCAGGATATACTGATAACCACCTTTACTAGGTTCTAAATGTAAATAATCAATGGACAACAAGTTCAAGGGGTTGACTAGTGGTAATAGTCCCCATAGGTGCTCTGATGTGTGAGACAGGCTTTTTGCTCTTGATGCAGGGGCACTTCCTTGTCACATAAGTCTCTACATCTCTTTTCATGTAGGGCCAATAAAAACGATCTCTCACTAATGTCAGTGTCTTTTCAGTGCCTACATGGCTCATGTCATTGTGGAGCAACTTTAAGGCTGTTTCATGATACAGCTTAGGAAGGACAAGTTGGTGTCTCTGATTAGTCTTTCTAAAAAGCAGACTGTCATGGAGATGCAATCTGTCCCACTCATAAAGCAGTTTTCGGGCTGGACCACTAAGTTGGCTCTTAATGTCATTAGTTAGTGTTTTAACTGTCTCTTTGAGCTTTACAACTTGGCCTATGACAGGGTCAATGCGTTGTGCTTTTACCAACTCAGCATGGCTAACAGCTGGTAGCAGGTCAGGTGTCGGGTTTGTTTGAGCTAGGTCCAGGGCTGCTACATAAGCAACATCTTTAGTCTCTGCAGCCATCCCAAATGGTCTGAATAGTGTCTCTAGACAGTTCTTTTGTACAGGCGTCTACATAGCTGTCTATATCTAGTGGCAGCCTGGACAGTGTGTCTGCGTCTACGTTGACTTTGCCTGGTCTATATTTAATCTCAAATCGGAAATCAGCAAGCTCACCAACCCAGCGATGACCAACGGCGTTAAGCTTAGCTGTACTCATGACATAGGTTAACGGATTGTTATCCGTGTAAACGGTAAAGTGGGGCGCATAGTAAAGATAGTCTCTGAACTTTTCACAAATGGCCCACTTTAAAGCCAGGAATTCTAATTTACCTGAATGGAGGTGGTAATTTCGTTCTGCAGGTGTCAGTGTTCTCGACCCATATGCTATAACGCGCAGCTTCCCACCTTGGCGCTGGTACAGAACGGCACCAAGACCCCGCTCCGAGGCATCAGTGTGCAGCACGAAGGGAAGGCTGAAGTCTGGGTAGGCGAGTACAGGCGGGCTTGACAGGGTTGTAAGAGTTGATGCAGCGCCCTCTGGTGTTCTTCTGTCCAGTGTATTGGTGTCTTTGATGGCATCTGCATGTGTTTCGATTTAGCTGTTTTCTTTATCTGGTTGGTCATACTGTTGCAGCTGGTACCTTTTGCTACTAGCAGTTCATACATTGGCCGTGCAATCTTTGAGAAATCTTGTATATATGTGCGGTAGTAACTGAGAAAACCAAGCAGTTTGCGAACATCTCCAACAGTACTTGGCGCCTTGTCTTTGAGGGCTTGGATGGCCTCCAGATCTTTAGGGTCAATGCGAACTCCATCAGAGGAAACCAAGCGTCCCACATAGCGGACTTCTTTCTTAAATAGCTCACATTTGGTTGGCCTGAGCTTCACACCATGTTGTTGGAGTGCTCGTAGGACACGTCTTAGTCCTTCAACATGTTCTTCAAATGTCTTAGCATAACAGAGGATGTCATCCAGATCGGGAATGCAGCATTCATCCCTCAGCGAGCTCAGCATCTCCTCCATACTCCTCTGGAAAGTGGCTGGCGCGTTGGACAGCCCGAAGGGAATGCGCACCCACTCGTACAATCCCCATGGGGTGATAAATGCAGTCATGTGCCGTGATCCCTCAGCCACATAGCCCTGATGGTAGGCTTTCCCCTGATCTAAAATGGAGAACCAGCTGTATCCCCCCAGTGTGTCAATAAGATCTTGAATGCGGGGCAGGGGATGTCTGTCTGGGACTGTCTTTTGATTGAGGAGTCTATAATCTATGCAAAGACGGAGGGTGCCGTCTCTCTTACGTACACAGACCACTGGAGCTGCATAAGGGGACTTGGACTTGACAATCCACTGTTTAGCCAGAAGATCTTGGATGTATTCTTTAACTTCCCTGTAGAGTGGTTTAGGGATAGCAGAGTACGTTCTTTGGACAGGAATGTCATCTTTCAATGTTATGTTCATTTGGAGACTAGGGATACACCCAATATCATTGTCATCACAGGAGAATGCATTTGATTCTTCATACAGCATTTGTTTCACTACAGCTTGTTCTTCTTCACGTAAATGACTCACATTAACTGGTGGGTGCCACAGCTGGGATGTGGACTCACTGAATGTCTGTT